ATGGCAGACAACCATCCGTAAGCGCTTACGGCTTAAGTTTTTCTCTGCCTTACCGTAAGTTTACGGCTTACGGAAGTCCGTAAGCGCTTACGGATGGTTGTCTGCCTTCAGCCTTAGCTTAGCGCTCATGTTCTTCATGGCTGCGTACGCCGCGGCTACTATGTTCACGATTGATGTGACGTTAACACGCTTGCGCGATATGATTACGAGTTCGGTGTCATCCCTTGATTGGTTCAGCTCCGATTGTGGGGGCACGGGGATGCTCAAGAGTCTCAAGCATCCCTTCCACCATGGTCTCAAGCAAGAGTTCAAGACTCGTGTTCGATCATTGTACGTCTGTCCGACCTGACGAGCACGTCTCAGTTCTTATTTGGGCAAAAAAAAGAAATGCCGGACCTGAGGAATTCGCATAAGAGGCCGCCGATCGCCTTTGGTAACGTGAAGAGGATTCAAGCCGATCTCTCTCAGCAGCAACGGGCGAAACGCAAGACACGCAGAATGCAGGACTTCGAGGAAAATCGAAGGGAGGTCTCGCCAGGCTCCGCAATATCACAGAATGGTGAGGCGTGATAACGCAATCCTTATTGTTATGCAAATGTAAATGCGCGCGATACGCCGGGAGAGATTCACGGATATCTCGAACGCTTATTAATGTTTCGATAACGCGTGCCTCGTTTGGTCGACGTTACCTGTAGGCAGCGAGTCAGGGATTTTTTCTGTTATTTATGTACGTTTCAAACTCACCTTCAGCGATGATATGATGTAGACGAAAGAACAGCAGGCGTGAATATCAATCTTTGCCAACGAAGAGACTCACCAATTCTCGATGAATAAATATGTAAAACATAAAATTCTTTCTCTTGTGTTATTAAATAAATTAATTCTAACACCGATAATTTTCAATGGTTTAGTAAATTGCATTTATGAATGTTACATAATTATTGTAACAAAAATAATGTAGATAATGGAACGTAGCAATCGTGCGCGTTTACGTTTGTTACGTAAAAGAAATTGTGCGTTTTAAATGTTGTTTTCAAAGTTGTTACAGAAACTTCTAGAAAGAAGTTATCAGATTGGAGAGCCAAACGGAGGAGCAAAAAGGAGACGCAGAAATCCCAAAAAAGCCGCCATTCGCCGTTGGAATAGTACGTCATCATTTTTATTCTCCGATATCGAAAGTCGCGCATGTAAAGAAGAAGAAAACGGTCCAAGGGCAAACAAATTCTGAAATCACAAAGAGAATTACAACTAATGATGGAGTTTTTACGGTGCTCGCTTCCATAGAAACACAGGAACGAACTGGCTCCTGGACAGCGGTCTTCGTTAATTTATCGCGTGCGAAAATATTTTTATTTCGAAATGGGCTACTTTTGCACGCTTCTCTAAGATAAAGTTATCTAGGGCTATCCAGGAGGCGGACTAAATTTATGATGAAGTGGCGCAAACGATTTTCGTTTTTATTTATGATGTAATATACGAAAAAAAATTAAACAGTATTAGTCCCTCTCTTCGGGCTGTTGAACTTCGATTGACGTGATACTATGCGAAGACAATGTAAGCGTACTGGTTTTCTCGATCGCTGTTTGGACGGAACCGCTAAATTCAGAATTCGAGCTATTCCTGCTTGAATTCTGACCGATCACCTATTTCTCGTTGAGTGTTGTGGTAAAATGGTCGTTCAAATGGCCTACAAATTTTCTTCTTAAACTGTGACTTCCTGGCCTTCCCGATTTCTCTATTTAACTCTTCCTGAATGTTTTTTCGTATATTACATCATTTATGATGAAAACCGTATGGCTTCTACTGCTCTCCTTATTAGCGTCTGTAGGATGTTGGGTTCGATTCTTATTACGATCGCACGATCGACGTGGGACAATAATATACGAAATTACATCATTTATGCTGTAATTTCGTATATTGTTGTCCCACGTCGATCGTGCGATCGTTTTCGCGACCTGAGAGGATTGGAGGGTTACTCCCCGCGAGTTGTATGTGCGTCGAGTATACGGAATACGGAAACTAATCGCACAAAAGATGTACAAAAGGCGTTCTCGTTCTCGCCTGAGTAAGGCGTTCTCGCCTATAGCAAAGCGAGAAAAGCGGGCGTGAAACGGCTGTTGCGCGGCTCGGCGAAACCGGGCACGAGCGGCTCTACGATGAAAACCGATATCTCGATCAAGGTAATCGTGAGAGTGCGTCCGCCTAACGAGTCACGGGACAAAAGCCGGACGGTCATCGAGGTCGTGGACGACAAGATCCTCGTCATCGACCCGAAGGAGCACGTCCCGCAGAAGGGCAGGGACATGCTGAAGAGGCAGAACAAGCAGCTGCAGTTTACCTACGACCGGGTGTTCGACATGGCGTCCAGCAACGCCGACGTGTTTGAAAGCACCAAGAGTCTGATCAGCAGCCTCCTCGACGGCTACAATTGCTCCGTGTTCGCGTACGGTGCCACCGGCGCCGGCAAAACTCACACGATGCTGGGCAGCAGGGAGGACCCCGGCATCATGTACCGCACCATGGCGCAGCTGTTCGCCGAGATAGAGAACCAGAGCAAGCACCGGGAGTTCAATCTGGGGCGTGTCCTACCTGGAGATATACAACGAGAACGTGCAGAACCTGCTGCACAAGACCGACCAGCTGCATCTGAGGGAGGACGGTAGGAGCGGAGTGGTGGTCGCCGGTCTAGAGCCGATCGCCATCCAGAACGCCGAGGAGTTGCTCTCGCTGCTGGCGGAGGGTAATAAGAATCGAACCCAACATCCTACAGACGCTATATAAGGAGAGCAGCAGGAGCCACGCGGTTTTCATCATAAATGATGTATTGTAATATACGAAAAAACATTTAGGAAGAGTTAAATAAAGAAATCGGGAAGGCCAGGAAGTAGCAGTTCAAGAAGAAAATTAGTAGGCCAAAATTTGAACGACCATTTTACCTATGACACTCTACGAGAAATAGGTGATCGGTTAGAATTCAAGCAGGATATTCCGTGACTGAGCACATTTACAACGGTTTGTATTGAAATGTGTGATCGCGCGCTGCGGCCAATAAGCGAACCCGTCGTTTCTGTCGTTGGCCGCGTTGCGCATTAATATTGTATACAAATAAATTAAAGACCCAAATTAATTTATGTAAATAAATTACTTAGGTACACAAATGTCATATAGCGAACGTATTAATTCGCCGTTTCCGCCTCGCGAAACAACGATAATACTATAAGTCCAATAAAACAATAAAATATATCGTGTGGTCCTGATCGTTCTCTGATTGACGTAGAATCAAATATTTTTGATTCTGAATTGATTTGAAATTGACGACCGAACACGCGGGTGCCGCATAAATATCAAGAAATGATTATAATCTACGAATAAATATCACGTTAAATATGTGCATTATCTGCAAAATATCGTCTCACTTTATTTTCCCTTACGACCGCGCGAGCGTAATATACGAACACTTTCTATCGATGTGTACGTATGTATGCGAGTTTCCTACAACCACATAACTGGAAACTTTGTCGGATAAGCTTGAAGGCTTGGGGAGATTGTACGTATATTAATATAATGATATAACGAGCCGAACGTACGGTACATTTCGGCGCCGAATTACAGTGCACACTCGATCTGTCTGGCACTTGGATTTAATTGTGTGCGATTTGCGACTCGTTTCATTTATATTTCCGGTCTATCGGAGCGCGCGTCGCGATAATTAATTATATCATAGATACGCAATGAAAAACTATCCGTAATTGCAATCGTCCAGGGAGCAGTTCTCTATAAACGTTTTCATATATAGATTGCAGCTTGAAGATATAGGTACTTGAAGAATTCTCGTGTGCCATTAGAGAAGGGATTCGTCGCAGCGACAATTGAACTTTCCGATTCTTCCTTTTGATTCAAGAATAACGAAGAACGGAATTGCATTCAATTTTATCCTGCTGAACATGATGGAATATAATGGAAGACTAGGTGTCTTCGTGAGGCGATTCTGTTCTATATTCATTACAACTTCACGGTATCTAACACACTTAGCTTGAGTGAATGTGTGGTTTCAAGCTTATCCGACAAAGTTTCCAGTTAAGTGGTTGTAGGAGACTCGCATACATACGTACACATCGATAGAAAGTAACGCAAAAGTACAGATAAACGTACGTATTATATTATAAATACGTACACGAGGGGATACCGAGAACGCGCCGTTACGATAATCTTTCAGCCGGCTGATGTCACGTTAAAGCTTTCAAAGTTCCATTCATTCGTTCGCAAAGATCGATTAATAAGCGAAAATATTCTTTAACGACACAATTCTTTCACGCTAGCTTACATACAGAGGAATGACTTTACGATTCCTTAATTATAGTTATAGGTATCTCGATAGAGAGATGCCGTTCGCAACGATAGCAATAAAAAATTATACCGGCGAATCGTTTGTGTGAGATAACTGAACTGAAACATTTTCATTATTAGTTTACTTATTTGTAATCTTACCTGTAACCATAATTATATTCTTTTATATCTTATTTATTTCCATCAGATATATATATGTATATATATAATATGTATATAGTATATATGTATATATATAAATAATATGTATATATCGGTCAGTAGCTCGATGTGTTTCATAAAATTTGGTCAGACTTTTTAAATCTCTTAACATCACGATATGCTGCCCAGTATTTGTACGACGCATAATTACTTTGTAAATGAAAATAACTCCGAGATAACTGACATAAACGTTTACTCGCCCATTAGAACTTTAGGTATAATCGTGCCGTAAAGTGCCCGAAACTGTTCGTATCCTGGTAGTCTAACGTCCAACTAACGTATTGTCTATTACTGTTATTATGTAACAAGTTTGCGTGAGATCGTTTTGGTTTATTGTTTATTGGAACGTCGTAATTTGTTTAATGACAAAATAGTAATGTTTTTAATAATTTTACAATAGCTATCAATTTTACTACCGGAAAATTAGTGTAATATTTTTTCAATCTTTCTCATACCACTTTAATTCACATCAGTTTAGATGAGACAAGCGTATCGAATACATTTCTTGCAATGTAAAATAATTACGTTATACAAGTTTACCGACACTCTGTGAATAATTTCATTTAATATTATTCAACAATATATATGCTTGCGCTACAATATCTCATAATGCATTACACTCTTAAGTGTGTATAATTGGCATTCAAATATTTTATTGAATCCTATACAGGCAATAATTCGGTGTGTAAAGTAATTCAATTTAACTACAGCTATAAATCCATTCATTTGTTACTGTTATGTGTCATATGTGTTTCACACTTCGATATAGATCATTCTTCAACTGAAACAGAAATATATGTTTAGTAGAGAACGATATTTGTGTAACAGCCTTTCGTCTCGAGTAGCGTACGTAGATACCAAAGAAAATTTTTATTCAGAGACGAAAGGGTTAAGAGAGCAAAACGTAATCTTTGTTCTGCTTATTGAAATTTACTTTGTAGTTGATCTTCTCGATGGTTCCGAAGCAGTAGGAGGTGGTGGAGGACCCCTACGTGCCAACTCTTCCAAGTAGCTCATTAACAGTCGAGTCCGTTCGGCAGCTGCTGCTTCGAGCACGAGAAATCGGCGATCTTTTCTGAGAATTTCTTCGATCTCTGCCAGATGCGAACTATTGTCTTGAACCTTTTTGTATGTCTTGTCAGTGATTAGCTTCGTTTCCTGAAAAATCACACCTTCTTGACCAAGAGGTACATTTGGTTTTTAAGCGATATATCATGAATTAAACGTACCTGTAGGAGTTCCCTAAAATCAGCTTTGGCAGCAACAAGTTTGTCCTTAATATATTCTTTAAACTCTTTCTCGCATTTCTGAAACGATAAAAAAATATATGGGATAAGTAATAATAAATGTTCAGAATCTTTTAATTTTTTTTTAACGTTGAAAGTAACGATTACGTACTCGATCGCTAGAAGAAAACTTCAAATATCTAGGATCGTCTTTCAATAGTTTCTTAATGTCTTTCCAGGATGCAGTAAGTTCCGTAGATGCGCCTACTTCATCAAGTAATTCCCGAAATTTGTCACGTTTCTTACGGCCCAATTGTTCAATGTGTTCATTAAACAATCGTTCCTTCTCCTCGCGGTCTAAACTTTCGGCCAACTCCCACCTATGGTCCTTCCTCAATTGTCGTTTCGCTTCTCTCCACGCCAGATCACCGTTTCTTACCTAAAGTTGAAACAAATATTTTAGATATTCAGTAATCAGAGATAACAATAGTTCTCATCATGGGCGTATCCAGGGGGGGGCAGGGGGCGCAGCTACCCCCCCCCCCCCTAGACAAAAGTCTGGATACGCCCATGGTTCTCATAGAATATTGTGCAATTAAAACGAAATGCGTACCAAATCGGCTAGAAGAGCACTGAAGTGTTGAACCGCCTCTGTGTGACGGTGATGTTGTCTTTCCTTATCCCTGTCGCGAAGGTGTGTAGCCAGAGTCCTTTGCACTTCTCTTTCTCTCTCTCTGAGACTGGCTTCCACTCGCCTTTCGCGTTCTCTCTTCTGTTTCTCGCGATCCTCCTCCGAATCGGAATGCTCATCTCCCTCTTCCTTCTAAAACAAAACAAAAATCGTACAGAAGACATAAAAATAACAGACAGAGACAGAGATTGTTTATTATTGTACTCACGTCATTCTCCTTTTTGACGCTTTTATCGTCACTTTCTTCAATTTCCCCGCTTTCTTTCTCTACCACCATATCCTTTTTCTCCTTCTCGCTCTCCTCCGTGGATGTTTCGCTCTTTCGTTGCTTCTTTTCCCTTGTATTATCTTTGTCAGGTTTGTCCTTGCTGGACTTAGTTTCTTTACCTTTATCCGAATCCTTACGATCCCTATCCTTCTTGTCCGTTTTGTGGTCTTTCTCTCTGTGCCGATGGTCCTTGTCTTTCTCCTTCTCCTTTTTCCGCTCATCCTTCAGCAGGCGAACGTAATCTCTAAACCAATCTTCCCGCGTGCTTGCCGACTCTACGACTCTGTACCTCCAATCCGTTTCCAACTTTTTCTTACAATCGCTCCAATGCGAATGCCTGTCGATGTCTTTGTGCTCACGTAGCATCGCAAAGAATTCCTTTTTCACCTGAAACGCATTTAACATAAGAGTTTTCATCGCTGAAGAACAATTACTGCTTGCTTATGTACTATTATACAATTCTTTTGTTTATAAGATCAAATTTTTCTTGTCTCTCTTATGTCATGCACGCTTTAATGATATTTCCAACCAATTATTACACGCTCAGCCACATTACAATCACTTTTATAAACATTATGATATATAATGATCTGTAATGTGGATCAAACTATTTCAACTTGCAAACCTTTTAAATGGTTTTCAAACTACATTTCGTTAGGGGTAGAAGAAATAGTCATTCGTGTTCGTTCGTGTCAGGAGGTATCACAACGTTAAGGACTCTATTTGTCGGATTTTTTTTTAATGAACTAAGCTGGTCATTTTTTTAGCTGAAAAAAATTATTAACTCATTATTCCTGTAAAAATAATTATTATAATCATCGTCATCATTAAATGTGCAGTATTCAATTCGCTCGCATTAAACATAATTAACTTAAAGTTAAATTTGTTCGAAATCATTGCATGCCTTACATGTACACGATATACTGCCATTTAATAATGACTGAATGTGTAAGGTAAGTAAATGTTTAACTGCCGTCCTTGCTGAAACGAAAAGAAATATGGTTAGTGCATTATCATTAACTTGGAAAACATTAGAAGCTCGCAGCCGTCCAAATTACGAAACGAGTTTCCATCTAATTTCTTTTCTTTTCTCCTACTTGCTACACTCTAAAATACCTCTCGAAGAACGCATAATTTTAGTAAAAGCGTCACGTATTTCACAACACATCGCATTGTTTACAAAAATTACAACGCAATTATTCTCTTGATATTTTTCTTGATGTTTTTTTCCATAAAAGTAACAGATAGATAATTAAATTAATGCTTACTAAAATGTTATCCTATTAAAATTAAGTGTATCTCTGTTCTCTGTCTTTCTCTTTCTCTCCTAAGCCTCGATTCTTTTAGTTTGTAAATACTGAAAGTATTAAGCGAACAAAATTAGCTGTGACAGACAGATGCTTTTTCAATTGTCTACGCAACGTGTGAGAAACCAAGAAGCGTCCTGTAAAATAGCTTTCTTTCCAATGTCCCCATTGCGTAATTTGTAAACGACCGAAATGATTTGGACGATGCTCTTTGTTGCATTAAAAAGAAGAATGTTTAGGTATTGTCATTATAAACGACAATCGAGAAATGATTACAGCTCAGACACTGGCACATTTTCGTCTTTAACTTGCACGTAATATTCGTTACTCGGATCCTATAAGGATTTTCAAGGTACTGAAAAAGTTTGTGCTTACATAACTGCTTGGACTTCTTTTTATCTCATTCTGACTGAAATTAATATGAAAATCCACTTGTATTATAATTAGAAGAAAAATTATTAAGGCTTTCAGACGAGTGTAAAACAAATACTTTTATAAAAACCGCTCACTCTATGCCAAATTTAATTTTATATTATAAGTCTATACCACAACTTAGCGAGATAAATCTTGTAAAATGAATCACGACAAAGTTCATGATAACTTTATTATTCTTGATAATAAGAAACCGTTTGTATCTTGTTTGTAAAGTCGACTTAAGATTACTTGAGAGTTCCAGTTGTGTTTTTACCAATATCAAATTCGATGCATCATGTATTGACATAAGAACAACAGTAAAAATGATTTTAAGATAATAATTCGTTGTTTTTTTTGTTCGTGAACGTAAGATATTTTACCTAATATAACCTGTATATGCAAGACAATTTTTCCGATTGACAATATAAAAAGTAATGCTCGAAATAGCTACTAAAAAGTAAAATAAACGAAACAAATATTCTATCACGTCGTCGATGAACTTGTTTTTATGTCCATACATTTAATATAAGTTCTGTGGTAGCATTAGAATCGAATCTTTATATCTCTTTAGAATTGGAATATATAAACTCTGAGAAAAACTATTCTGCGGACTAATGCTACCTCGGGCTTTTGCGTATCCTCTTTTCCTTTCAAATGAATTAAATCGTTTTTCCTTTCAAATTGCTTTTGACTTTGGGGAAAAGTTAATCTTTTGAAGTAACGTGGATTACGAGTAATATACAAATACCGAGTTTGTTCATTGTCATGACACTCTGCTTTGAAGTAAAGAATGCGGCGCGCGAGGGTGTGCCAACAGTGCCCGCAGAGAAGGTGGGAATGGTAGATGACATCATCCATGCCACCAACCAGCTTCAGTACCAAGCCACTCCACATACGGAACCTGTCCTGCCTGCATCCTGACTGAAGTGGAGAGTTCAGAACACATAAGTATATAAGGAAGGTCAAATACTAAGATTTTATTCTCTACATCTCCCATCTTAGAGCTACAAAAACTTTTCGATTTCGATCGAGCAAATCTACTGGAGTAGAGAGAATTATTATTAGAGAAATATCTCCTGGTATATGTGTTCTTCAGCCGTTATAATTTTAGGAATTCGTACTATCTTACAAGTGGAACAAAATAATAACATACCTATGACACCTGAAAGAAATTAATTAATTATCGCTGTAAAAACATAAACTTCATTAAACATTACTAAACGTGTATCCTCGCCTACACAGGATTAAAAACGCTTTGCATCTATGCTTAATTTGATTCTTATGCTATCGCGCATTGCAAAGCCTCGCTTAATAAGGTGAAGAAATTCTTATTGAAATTAATAAAATAATATGTAAACATAGGAGCAAGTGCCGAATAAATGTATTCAGCCCATGCGCAACTTATCGCGAATGTAGTATGTATTATATTTATATGCTGCTTCAAATATTCTTCGGACAGCATTTATGAAGCAATTCACTATAAATAAACGACATCTGCCTGGAACGGAAGGAGAACAGTTTATTGGAAAGTAAGGTAACTAAAAAGTGGGAAATGTGTAGTTTGTGATGCTTTTCTTAAAATATAAAGGACTTTGAGGTACACTTTGACAGAAAAAAAATACAAATATCAATTATTTCATATAATTTTAAATATGTGATCGATGTATCCGAGTAAAGAAATATTTTTACAAATCTTTAAATGATAAATGATATGATCATCAATACGTGTATAATATTAACCTCCAATAAATTTCAAACTTTCATAAAGTGATAAAAATGAAAATTGACAATAAAGTTAGATAAATTAAACACACATTAGTTTACTTTGTCTAACTTTAACAATTATATTAGTAAAATTGTTGGATCTAAAATAATTTATTATTTCCAGAGTACATGAAATTTATTATGTGGCATTGTGAGGTATTAGTGTACCTAAATCCTCTATACTTAATAATTATTAAATATATAAATATATATCTAATAATTATATACACACACTTCTGATGGAAACTTGGATAGGGATATGTCGCTATAAATCTTACTTGTTCTGTCGAATGTCATCAAAATATTTATAATTATTTGTATTATAATGCATGGTCCTGAAAAAATGTCTTGCATTGCCACACAATGCGCGCGCACATTCAGTGATGTTAATAAAATAAAAATACCTGTTCTCGTTTCGCTGTTTTTTCCTCTTTTTCCCTCTTTCGCACTTCCAGAAGATATTCGTTGAAAAGGCTTTCTCGTTCGCGCATCTTTTCTACATTCTTAAATCGTTCATCTCTTCCATGTTTTTGAGCAAAATCACTAAATGATGATCTACAAAAAAAACAGAAAATGTATCATTTTCCGTAGAAACAAAGGGACTGAAAAAAAATCTCTTTGTACACGTACTTTCCATGAAGTCCTGCCTCTTCTAAAAGCTTCTGGAATTGCTCTTTTCGTTCTTTCATTTTATTCCTCTTTTCTCGTCTCTCTTCTTCTGCTCTCTCCTTCACGTACTTCTCGAAGACCTGCTTCCTTTCCTTCGACGTTAGAAGTAAATAGCGCGGATCAAATACTATCTTATGAAGTTCTTTTTCCCAAGTACTGAATGCAGATACCTGAAAACATAATAATCCAGTTATTCTTGACACAATATGTTTATAAGAACGGAGAATTTTAAAAGTTGTGAATAAAGGAGCCAAGTTTCTGTAATTCGTTTCAGGGACAATAAATTAAAAGTAACATAATGGTTTACACAAATGATAATAATATAATTTACATCTTTCTCTGCAAGCATATCCCTGAACGACTTGATCCTCGTTTCCAGTGGAACTATCGCCCTCTCCCTCGCTGCTCTCACTTCGGCCTCTATCGCAGCTTCCTTGCCGATGTCGATGGTCTTTTTCCCCTCCTTCTCCTCTTCTTCCTTGATGGGTGCGCCTGATAATATGGAAAAATAATATCAAATACTAGTTCGTTCAAATGTACGTATTAGTGAAACCTTTTAGAGTAGTAATTACTTTTGGTATCTTCGTGTTTTATCTTTTTGGCTGGTGTAGGCTGATCGTCATCGCTGCTCTCGCTGGTATCAGACTGACGGGCTGGTTTCGGGGCACCAACCGCGTCTGGTGGCGTTGAGATCATCTTGTCCACATCTTGACGACCAACAAGATCATCTGGCCTCTCCCAAACCGATATTCTCGAAGAAGGATTGTAGAAAAATACCCGTCCATCTCCAGTCCAAACGACACACCTTCAATACAAATATATTCGCTAGACTCACGTAAATGTAGCAGGCAATAACGAATTACAACATAAAAAACAGGCATCGTTAGATATACCATGGAGTCCCAGGTACTGGTGTACTAGAGATTGGCCTAGATTTGTCTTGAGGCTTTGCAGGTTCCTTAGCAATATTTTCCTCCTTCTTCGGCTTAGCGCTATCGATATCTTTTGTACTATCTTTGGTTTCATGAGCGTTTTCTTGCGGCTTTTCTTGCTTGCTAGGTTCAACGGCCGTGTTATTGTTGGTAACGGCAGTGGCAGGAACAACAGTACTAGCGGGGACAACGTTTGCTTCCTCGTTTTTCTGCCGTAATGTTAATTTCGCATCTAACAAAACGAAATTTCAGAATAAATCATAAAAAGCAATTTATATTACTACGTTTCGAGATCTGTAATATCTTAGATACTTCGCTTTACATATATTACACTCTGTTACAATGCTCGATAAAGAAATTACATATTACATACTTTCGAGATCTTTCAAGGCTTGTGGCTTCTCCCATACTGATTCTCCTGCTTTGCTGTTGTAATAATAGAATCTGCCGTCCGGTGCACGATGCTCGGTCCAGACCATAGCAGCCGCTACTAATTCAGAATCAAGCTGTGCAAGTATGGCAGGATCTTCAGCAGGTGCTTGAGATGTCATCACACCATGGGGCATTTGTGGCATACCTAAACAAGAATATGTAGACACTATCAGCAACACTATCGATCGATGCAAATTATAACAATGTCTCTTTCCCATCGTATTCGTCAGATAAAGGAGGGGTGTCAATAAGGCCGTTTTTTGGCCCACGTTAGAATCGTTCCAAACTGTGGTATTTTCTTCCTACCGATGTAGCTAACAACCTGCTAGAATCGTTTGCTGTCCGAGCAATTAGAGGCTGAGAACGGGCAATTTGAAATCTAAAAAAATAAGGTTTTTCACATGGTGGTAGTGGCGGTTTCGTATCAGCATGTCACTATTGAGCTTCCATGTTAATAAACAATCATGCAATAGCATCTCTTGCGATAAATCAGACGATCCTACTATAAGCCTAAATCAGGTATTGTTACCCGCGTACCGTTTCCGTTTTCGTTATAGCTACCGCGTGCCGTTAACCGCTTGTAGACGTCCGTTTACGGCGATTCCCGTATATAGCCGTACGTGTTGCCGATATCGCTTTATATGCGTATTTTCTTTTGTAGATTATTAAGTGTTATAATAAAGTATTATTTTATTTACTCGAATCTCACCGACTTAGTGTCTCGGACCTCCCTTTCGTCTGACCTGCTCTCCGAGCTAGCCGTAAGCAAGGCAGGTTGTTTTAACAGTATTATCCACGAGACTATGGTAATGGAAGCTCAACAGTAACATGCTGATACGAAACCGCCACTATCACCATGTGAGAAACCTTATTGATGTTTTTAGATTTCAAGTTGCCCGTTCTCAGCCTCTAATTGCTCGGACAGCAAACGGTTCTAGGAGGTTGTGAGCTACATCGGTAGGAAGAAAATACCACAGTTTGGAACGATTCTGACGTGGGCCAAAAAACGGCCTTATTGACACCCCTCCTTTCCATTTGCCCATTTCACTTTATATTACCCCAATTTGTTTGTGGTGGCCCGTAACCGCCAAAGGGTTGGAAACCGGGTGGTGGCATTCCGAAGGGCGCTGCTCCGAATTGCGTTGGGATCGGATTACCAAACTGATTCGGCATTCTGTGCTGCATAGGGATCATATTTGGCGGCGGTTGCATCATGTTCGTATTTACCGCTGGTGTACTTATCGGCGGTGTGTTGGCGACTGTCGTAGGTGCTGTGCCTGAAGTTTCAAATTTTTACTCTTTAATGCCAATACTTGGACAAAAGTTGAAAAGGTTTATTCGCGCAAAGCTCGAGGAACGTTTTCAAAATGAAATCGCTACCATTGAAATTACCATTTGACTGATTTGTCTCGGACGCTTGATTATTGACATCTGGTGTGTCGTTCAATGTAGGCGGTGGTCCGGTTCCGGGAGGCGCTGTACTTAATTGATTAATGGCATCTGTGTTGTTCGACGACGATTGCTCGCCGCCTTGAGAGATTCTGTTTTCGCTAATCTTGGTCGGTGTACTACCTGACGGAGTAGGCGTGGTAGAACGCGCCGCCGCTTGCTTCGACGCACCATGCACCAGCTGTTCCAACTGCAAAACCGCGAGATATTGTCTGAAGAATCGCCCCGTATTAGTCATACTAAATCTTGTGCAAAAGAACAAAATAAACTTTCGATTTCACTGACTGGTGAGCGAACTTACCGATTTTTGTTACGACATTGCTAATTTTTTTGCTACACGGTTCTTTATTTATACCTCGCCCCTGTGCCTGTATTTTACGCGTAGAGTTACATAACATAAAACTGACAATGGTAAAAATAATAATAATAATTTTAATATCGAGAAAATTTATAAATTTATAGATATATAATTTATGATAATTTTGCCATACGGAAAGATGACAATAAATCAAACTAGCTTAGATATACAGGGCGAGTTTTATTTCGTGGACGTCTTTTACTATGAGAGACGGATTACTGACAAATGTAGCCAACCCAGGAAAAAATAGAAAAATCTCGTTATATATTGATGTTTCAATCGGGTAATATCTAAATATATCTCCCATACAGCACAGATGGTTGCAGAAACGTTGCAATCTTGCAGAGACATTGCAGGGATATAAAATTGTAAACTTTCGATAGTAATATTGCAGCAATGTTTCAAAAATAATGAAAATACTATATTTTCTATTTAAAAAATGTTTCTAATTACGAGAATTTTATAATGTTATTTTCGTTGATACCAATAATATGCGAATTATTAAGTACTTGATCAGTACGGTGTTGCTCGCAATCTCCATCTATTGCGAAGCGACATAATCTCCTTAGGTTGCTTCGCAATAGCTTGCTGTGTATTGAAAAAGGCCCGGATGCATATGTAATTAGTAAATTCTCTGCTTATGTACAACAACAAATTATTCCAAAAATATTGCACTGCAATATTGCTATAATGTTGCACTGCAATCTCTCTGAGAATTTCAACGGACATTTCAACGTTGCTGCAATCCTCCAGAAACGTTGCTGCAATATTGCAATCTTGCAATGTAACATTTCTACAATCTTCCTGCAATCTTTCTGTACTGTGTGGGCTCTCAAGATACAATTAGATATTACATGATCGAGACATATAACAAGATTTTTCCATTTTTTTGTCAGTAATCTGTCTCTCACGGCAAAAGACTGGTTCACGAAATAGAACTCACCCCGTACAATCGTAACTAGCGTAAGTAAAGCGGTCAGATCATTCGCAGATAATAATAAAGGAGAAGCATTTAGTTGATTAAACCTGTATGGGTCGAAACTCGTAGGTATTTACCTGATCTTGTACCATGACCTTTACATTTAGCCCTTCCGGTTTTGTCCATGTGGTATCTCTCGTACGAATATTGTAATAATACGATTTGCCGTCAGCCGCTTTCGTCTCTACCCATACTTCTCCGTTGAGATCTAAACCTGGAATGTTCGCTTGTTGTTGCGCTTGCTGGGGTGGCTGCTGCTGTCCTGGAATCTACACATATTTCTTTATTCAGAAACATGTTCTCGAGCGTTTTTTTATTGAGCCTCTACCAACAGTAATGCCTATTAATTTAGCGGAAACTCCGCTACACCATAATAGGGAACTTTCCTCCATATATAAATGTGTTTTATAAGAATATACATATAGTGTATATTGTCATAATTTTAGTTAATATTGTATGTTCTTTGCCCCAGTTTAATGCCCCAGCAAAGTCTAAAGGTCTGTGTCCACGATGCTAGAACTTGGTCCAAGTTCTAGCATCGTG